AAATGAAACATGCCTCTAAATCCTAAAGGTGTGACGTAAAAACAAAGAAATATACACCCCTAAATATAAGGGTAAAAACAACCTATACACTTAACTACTATATAAAGAGGAATGAAAAGAAAGCTATACAAAGTATATACAATAAGAGACTAAGCAATTATGAGGAGAACACATACTCTATGCTCATAATAAACAAAGGTCTAAGAAGCACATCCTCTCTAATCTCCTAACCATAGACCTTGTCAAAAGTTTTATAGCCTTCAAGGATGGTCCTCCATCAGATGTCCCTGATCTTTTCGTGTTAGGCACGAGTCTTACCTCGTTATAAGCCACATCTTTACTAAATTAAATTAAGTTTAACAAATAACTAGTAGTAAAGAAGCATGTGAGTAGTAAAGTTATTAGAATTAAAAAAAAAAAAAGATGTGAGGCTATAAAGGAAGAAACATATAATTATATTTAAGCAAGGATAAAAAAAAGAGTGTGATGAAAGGAGATAATGAGGGTATAAGTAACGATAATTGTATTATGGTAATGATGAATGATGTGATGAGAAATGATGTTGGTGATGATGTTTGGTGATGATGTGATGAGATGATTCATTCCAAGCTGAGGCCTAACAACAATGAAATCTAGGCAAAGCTTGATATAAATTGGAGAAGTTTAGACAGTAAGGTCTGACAAGTTGTGTATTTTGTGATTGTTGTATTGAGTTTTGTGTAGAGTCCCTTCATTGTATGCATGCTTTCTTTAGTGAAGTACTGTAAATCTATGTAAAAGGGTCTTTATGGTCATCTACCTAGACCTTAGGGTGTTATGGTAGGAAACCTCTAATGAAAATAAGAGGTAACCACTAGGACCGACCCAAGCATGAGGTCAATAAGGCTCGTGCTTTGAGCAAACCTTCAAAAAAATTATTTTATATTAATATTTATATAATTCTTTTAAGGCTAATAACTCAAAAGTTACTTATTGTATTCTTAAAAGTTCAGTCTAAAAGATATACAGATATAATTATTTTTTTTCAAGGCCCATATCTAAATTATTTATTTTTAATAAAAGATATTATTAATTTTAAAAAGGTCTCATTGTAAAATTTGCTTTAGGCCTAATGATGTGTTGGATTGGTCTTAATAAACATGACCAACTATAATACTTTATAATTAACTAGATCCTGGTAGATATCCCCTAGTTAAGAGTGGATTGAGTGGGTCATCCAGTGTGTAGTGATCTAGTCCATGGCTCCTAGATTTCCTTATATTGGTGATGATGGAGATTGACACAACATGTATGTAGAGTTAGACGTATATGTCGCATGAGTATACATTATGTTGATATTTAATTGGATTAAATGTGTTGGTGTTGTTGAGATTAACGAACCTTGTTGGATATATTATGTTGATGTTTACTATGGATATATGTTATGTTAGTATTGCCTTTATGTCTTGTATATGTTATACATGGATGAGATAAATTCTCACTCTTTTATATTTATGTGGTTTGTTATTTTGTTTAAGTTGATTGTTTTTACAAGACTAAGGTAGGTATACAAGGATGAACATGAGGGAGAGGAAGCTTAGTGCTTTGGTTGGTGTTGGGTCTTGCTTTGATATTGTGACATTGGGGGTAGTAAAAGATATTATGTTTTCTTAGTTATAGATGGAGTTTGATTTATTTTATGATTTTTTATGTCGTGTGAAGTTTTGTAAAAAGTGTATTGAGTCAAAACCCTTTATGTTTTAACTATAACAAACCTTATGAGCAAAACTCATAAGCCTTTTGAGTATTAATGCTACTGATGAGTTTGCTTAGTGTATTCAAAACATCAACTAAAGTAAACTCAAGATTGATTTAGAATGACTCTTAGAAGGTGGACGAGAAAAAACATGATTAAGCCAAATAAAATAGAATCAATATGACATAAATATCATAATGAATCTTCATAACGTATAACTTAGAATGACTCAGAATGGATGTGTCAACTATTCATTCGATAGTGAAAGTCTTCAAAAGACTATGAAATCCATTTTGTGTGATATCTTGAGCTTTAGGAATTCATTTGAAGAAATCTTGGTGGATATGAAAAACCTGAAGAAGTAGCTACATTCTTCATGAATAAGTCAAACACTTATATGGATTAGATCATGTGCAAAATTCCAAAAGAAGTTGCAAATGATGTCAATCTTGACTACAAAACATAGTTGTTGTATTTTTCACATATCTTGAGTTGTAGATATGATCTTGAGCCAAATTTGTGATGATGGAAAGCTAGAATAATTATACATAATCTTTATTAAGAACTCGTGCACTAGAAAAGCCTAGATCATAGAAAAATATGGCAATCAAGATGCAAATGTCTTTTTTAGTTGCATCACTTACATAATGCAATATTTTGAGCATATTTAGACTTGTATACATGATTTTGAGCCAAACTTAGTGGCTATGAAAAGATAGAAAAATTGTCTACAACTTTCATGAAGAATTAGTGGGCTAATAAGGTCTCTATTATGGACAAAGTATCCCTACAATATGGAAACATTAATCTTTTTAAAACAACATGATGTTGCTGTAATGTTTTGGGAATATCTTATGCTATAGAGGTCAAAATAAGATGAAACCAATTCCTAATGATTAAGGATAGGTTTATCTATAAGTTTTATGAAGATCTCAAAAATTAACTTGGCCATTTGAAGGTTAAAATACTCAATTACAGAGACTATATTAGTAAAGTTCCATATTAGACAAAATAGAACTCAGAACACGCTTTATAGGCACCTTGTTTCAGAAGCCTTGCTAATGTAAGAAAAATATGTGATGTTAGTACAAAACTTGTGGAATAAGACATGCTATGACGACTAGCTCATCCCATGTAGCCTATATATATTCACCAAATATAGCTATAAAAAATTAAAGGAGATAAATTACATCATTCCAAGTCATTAATCAACTCCTCTATACTCCAACGCTTCTATGAAATTAAAAATGAAAAAAAGGAGTGAAGTTTAGCACAACTACCATGAAGAGTCTAACCCATTAGTGTTGATTAGTTGTATATTACCCCCCCTCCCCAAACACTTTCTCTTTCTGTGTAATATGTTTTTATCCCAAATCATCCAAACAAGTAGAAGTTTGGTAGTGAGAAGAGTGATAGGGAGAACCCATGGAATATGGGTAGTTTAGAGAGAGTGATAGCCTAGAAAGGCTACAATGAAATAATACCTTGGTAACTTGAAGAGGTGAAAGAATACTTATATTTTGTCTCTCCCATGGCCAAGTGGGTTTTATGGTTGAGTGGATGCTTGGAAAGGTCGATAATACTCGTGATGCCTAGATAGGTGGAGAATACTCATGATGCTTGGAGAGGTGGAGAATACTCGTGATGCCTAAATAGGTGTAGAATACTTGTGGTGTTTGCAGAGGCAGAGAATACTGGAGTTTCTCTCCCATGGCCAAGTGAGTGTCCTTGAGTGAAAGTTCAGAAGGGTAAAATTTTTAAGAAAATGGCTAAGTCACAATTAAACTCCTCTTTCTTATGATGTTCTGACAACTTCAAAAGGTTGATCAATGCCTTATTATTCAAACTCATTATTAAGACTATTTTCCTTTTATGTTAAAGAGTTTTTATTAAATGACTTATGGACCTTTTTACATGGTGGATTATATTTAGATGTTTGTAATATCATTTCATTTAAATGTATTTTGTTAATACTTTATTTATAATGTTTTGAGATAGAAAGGTATCACACGCATAATCAATTATGTGATTTGTCACTTAAATGAACAATCATAGTCACCTCATGAGAGACTTAAATGATAAAATTTTTGTCTAACTTTTAAAATTAAATAATAGTAAAAAAATGGGTAAAAAATTACAAGGACCTAAATCACAACTCTTTTCACTTATTCTTTTTCTTCATTATTCAAAAATTGACATTTTACTCTTGATCTTAGTTCTTCTTATTATTAGTATTATTATTTATTTTCAAAGAATCAATTAGGGCTCCATAACCATAGATCGAGTAGAATACATCCATTGGCCTTATCAATGAAGGCAAGAACCTCCGAGATCTCACCAAATTATTCAAAATACTCTTTCATGGTCTCCTTTTTAGTCTCTCGGGCCAAGCCTCCAACAAAAACTTTAGTGTATAGAGTGTCATTGAACTAGTCTACCAAATTAACTGCAAGTCATGTTAAATTTTGTGAATTCAATAAAAAAAAATACTTATGGTGGATGATCTTAATCTCCTTGTTTTCCTTTAACTAGAGTCAACTCAATTATGACGAAATTTCCTAGTGTTATTTTATATTTTTTTTCAATCCAATGAGTGTATGAATAGATAGATTTAAGCGAAAAAGATGAGAAATTTAGAGGAGGTTGTGGGTGTAAGAGATGAATGGCAATATTGATGAGAAGAGAAGAAGAGAGACAATCAAAGATAAAAAAATAAAAAAAATAGAGAGAAAATTAGGAAGGAAGAGAAGTTAAAAGTTAGACAAAAAAAAACTAATAGAATTAATGTTTTGTTGATGACAATGACCAATTTGGGTGATGGAAACTAAAGTTGAGGATTAAAATTTCATTTTTTTTAAATTATGAGACTACTAAATTTTCGTCTTACAAAGTTGAGGAACAAAGTAATACTATTATAAAATTACTAGTTTTAATGGATAAAGTGGAAATGACATTGTTAAAATGCATTCTTTTCATCAATAATATTTAAAAGACCTTAATATATTATATCATTTTTTTCTTATATATTATAATAACTAAAATTTAGTGATGTTCAGTTTGATTAAAGTTTTTATTTGTCAAATTAAAAATCACAAAAGCTTATTAGAAACATTTCATTTCTAATATTAAGAGATCTCCATAAGTATATTTCACAAAGTAAAATTTTAATGTCCCACAATTCCTAAATTTTGTCATTAAAAAACATAAACCCTACCTAGATCCTAAATCACCATTTGTATGAACCCATAGTCAAAAGAGGGAAAAAAAATCTAATCGTGCAACAAGACACATTCACGTTCACATTCACAGGAACATAAATTTTATATTTCACCTATTTAAATTAAAACAAAAAAGAAAAAGGTCGTTGAGCTTAAAATACAAAGTTGCACCAGCAAAAAATAAAATAAAATACAAAGTTTGAAAATGAAAATCAGTTGATCTTCTTGTCCATGTTTTTGACGAGCTGCTTCATCTGAAACCTCCAAAACAGGAAGTAAAACAAGGCAAATCCGAGCATAACGTAGATCCAAACATTCTCCCCTTGATTCTCCTTAGGAGACCTAACCTCCTCAATCTTAAAGCTCTCCCTCTGGGAAATCCCCAAAGTGCCCTCCATGACGCGGCCGTGCAGGACGTACGTCCTATCGCTCTCAGCCACCACAACCGAAGTAGGGAACCCCTCCGAGTCAAGGTCAATTTTGTCAAACACCGACGCCTGGGCCCACCCATCGTTACTCTTCACGAACCACAACTTGTTATACGACACAACCAAAACGACGCCGTCGCCCCTCAAAGCGACGTCGTCCGCGCCCATGAGATCCTCGTTCAGAAGCACTTCCCTGGCGCTGCCATCCTCCGCATCGACCTTAAACATCTTGCCCGTGTTGGACTGCACCACCAGAAGGTACCCCTTGCTCACGTGGACGATGCCGTTCAGCCCGCACACGCTATACACTGTGTCGCCGACCACCGCATGTTCCGTGAACCTCGCGGATTTCGAGAAGATCCACGCCTCTCCGTTATTGTTCACCTTCCAGATGTAGTTCCCCGCCGCGTTCGTCACGTACGCGTTGCCGCCGAAGTCCGCCGCCACGTCGTTCGCTATCGGGCGCCGCTCGTCGCCGGCGGCCGAGGGGAGGGCGGAGAGGAAGAGGCGGCGCCCCGAGCGGAGGTCGTAGGCGGCGAGGGCGTTGAATTCCGGGAGGGGCTCCAGGGCGTGGAGCGCCGCCAGCACGCGGTGGTTGCGGGAGTCCACGGCGAGGCCGAGCACGGTGACGTTCTCCGGGAGGGAGGGGTCCGAGATTAGGGTTTCCACCACGCCGGCGTCGGACACGGCGGAGATGGTGCGGTGGCGGAGGGATCCCACCAGAAAGTGCTGCGCTGTGGGGTCCCACGCCAGGCCCTCCGGGAAGAGGTTCGGGGACCGGAAATTGATGACGTGGAAGTCGCCGGCGAGGAGCGTTGAAATTTGGACGGCGAAGAATAGGAAGAGGAGGGTGGAATTGGTAAAGGAGTGTTTGGACATGTTGTTAAGTTTGGGTGCTGTGGGTGTGTTTGGTTATGCTATTATGAGCTTAGTATAAGATTAGAATTTAGAAGTATGCATATGTTATTTATAAGATTGTTGAGTAGTTTTTGAACTTCTTAGAGATACTGTAATTGTCTTCACTTTCTTGTCAAATGGGTTGCTTTGGATCCAGGAGTTTTCTTGTTAAAGGAGTTAGTTAAGAGATTTCTTTTGATCAATTTTTCTTGTATAATTTTTTCACTGAACTTGATTTTGAATCAAAGTGAAAATAATCACAATTGCAATGTTAATTGAGATTAATAAATTTAAAATCACAATTTAATTGATAATATTTAATATTTTTCATTTTTATTCGAATTTTAAGAAATTTAGTAATAAAAAATATAGAAATTAAACTACGGGGCAGTCTTTCATCCCACAATACCGACAAGTAAAGCCAAAAAGGAAACACAAATTCTAATTGATAGCATTTGAACAAAAGACAAAAGCAGCCCAAATTAGAGGCATCACGACACACCTCCTGCCCAACATCCTTGGGGCAATATCTACCACAAGTCAAGCAAACCAATGAGGGCATCAACAATTTCCTTAAATACAATAAAGGTTTGGAGAGACTGTACTCACATCCCAATTCGGTATACGACAAAGCCGTGAGGGAAAGGTCTGGAGAGACTGTACTCACCTCCTAATTCGGTATACGACAAAGCCGTGAAGGAAAGGTCTGGAGAGACTGTACTCGCATCCCAATCCGGTATACGACAAAGTCATGAGGGAAAGGTCTAGAGAGACTGTACTCGCATCCCAATCTGGTATACGACAAAGCCGTGAGGGAAAGGTCTGGAGAGACTGTACTCGCATCCCAATCCGGTATACGACAAAGCCGTGAGGGAAAG